TCTTCTTTAAAGATGTTTGAGAACACGCCTGGGTAGAATGAGGCTACTCTGGTATTAATGCCACATTCTGCAAGATCTGTTTCACAGAAGATCAGGTTTCCTTTCTTTAGCTGCTCAAAAGCCAGTTTTCCCAGAGACAGAATCATCTTGCCGGTCTCTGCAATCCAACGTGGATGTGTCTCTGCTCCTTCATTTGCCAGTTTGCACTGAACCAACAGGAAGTGTGAGTACATCTCAGTCAAGGTCTTGGGCAGCTCTCCTGCCTCATTGGTTTTCAACATGTCCTCCAGAACTGTTGCAGTGATCCAACAGAAGACTGGGTTGTGGCACATGATGTGGAGATTACGAGATGCTTGGATGTGGGAGATGATCCTGCTGGCCAGCTCCTTATTTCTGACTCTCTTCCTGAGGTACTCCTCCTCCTTTGCATCAGTGAACCCTCTCATCTCTGTCACCACGTGAATGCACCCTGGAGGGATTAGACCAGCTGCCTCAGGTGTTGTGGTGATCCAGACACGAGCAGTCGGGAACAGTTTCCCCATGATGAGGTTTGTGAGCAGAGCGTCCACTGAAGCTGACTCAGTAACATCAGTCAAGATCTCGTTTTTTTGGAAGTCCAAAGGAAGCCGACACTCGTCCAGACCATCAAGGATAAACACAGTCTGGAGTTTATCAAAGCTGCAGTTTTCTGCTTCTTTGATATCAGCAAAGAAGTGATGAAGAAGTTCTTCCCAGCTGCATTCTTTCTCCTTCACCAAATTCAACTCTCGGAAAGTGAGATGAAAAACAAAATGTATATCATTAAAGACTTTGTCTTCAGCCCAATCCAGAGCAAATTTTTGTGTCAGGACAGTTTTCCCAATCCCAGACCCTCCTTTGGTCATTAATGTTCTGAATGACGCACGTTGACCAGGTGTTGATTTAAAGAAGTCTTCCATGTCGATAGTTTCTCTGGATGCTGTTTCAGTTCCTCTTCTCTCTGTGATATACAGCTCATTGTAGTTATCATTTATCAGCATCCGCTTTCTAGATTTCGCAGGTTGTTTAAACAAATGCTGGAATTTCTTCTGCACATAGGATTTGAGTTTAAGCTGGCAGGCAGCTAGGGTCTCTGAAAGAATAAATAACAAATGACATTAACAGGAATATGTGTTTGCAAGTGGAGCTAACGTTTCTTTGTAAATGTAGAGAAACATTACTACATTCATGGAACCTTGTCATCTATTGCTAATTGGGTGGAAGCCTGGCTAAATTCTTCAAGAGACTTTTTTTTACATACCATGGTCACTGTATGGGCTTTGTTATGGAAAGAATGAAAGTTGGAATTCAAATTGCTTTGTTGCTGTAGTTGATATAATTGAACTACTGAATTCTATCAACAACGAAGTGACTGAAGCTACACATTGTGTTGCAATAATTCGATCAGTGAGACTTGGCAGGTTTGTGTTTCTTGTCTAAATGCACCTTGGAAGGCAGAATTTGATGTACTTGTGCCTTTTTTTTTTAAATTTTCTAAGGCAGTATTTTAATGCAGTTGCCTGCATGATTGTTTCTCTTTGTGCTGGACTGCTGATCTGTTCAGACTGTTCCCTAACACTTGCCCAATGTCAGCTGAGATAAGCTCCAACCCCTGTGACTGAACACAAGATAAAGAGGGTATATCTAACTGATGGAACGGAGTTGCAGCCTTCATGGTTGAAAAATGAGGCCAGCTTTGATGTGACAAAATCTGGAGTTCCTTGAATGTCCACTTGAGGCTGGCTCCAAAAATGAGTCAAACCCTATGGACCTCCATGTTAAAATGCACAAGTTCACAGCAGAAATAACAAATCATCACAGACTGATACGAACAACATTTTGGTTTGCACAGCCAATTTCTCTGTTCATGCCAAATGTTCAGGGGAGGAACCTCCAAATAATTCACCAGTTTAAATCGTATTGAGCTTTAAAGTCATGCATGGCAGGTGGGTGCACACTGAGCCTTAAAACCAGTGTTTAGCATGATGGAGGTTTGGTCCATCTGTGTATACAGCTCATGGATGGAACCAGGGGCATGCACAGTTTCTCCTCCAACTTTGCAGCTTTCTTGATAATACTTGGTGGTACTGACCATTGGAAGTCAAGAGTTTACTGCATGTTCTTATCTCGCTGCTTCCTCCAAGGGCTAAGGGTGGTGATTCGATTTTACAGGCAAAACGCAGTTTGTCAGTATTGCCGCGGGCTTTTCTGGTCAGGGTCAAGTACTGTGTTACATAGGAGAGGGACTGCTTGTTGCACAGAACATGGGGAAAGCAACAGAAGACCTAGCATTACTTTACAGTTGATCAAATGACATCTCTTTGTCTTTACCAGCGTAATTAACAGTTACACATTCAGTACACGTGTTTATTTCCTCACTACTTACCTTTTGATGTTGGGTTTATACTTGACAAACGCTGCACCAAGTCATTCCTTCTGATCATCTTTAAGACCTTGATGGTCACCACCACTGCGTCTGTGTTGTAAGTCTCTTTGAGCTCAGACACTGTGGTCATCCTGTTTGCATTGTCAAGTTTGCTCCTTGAGATTGCTGGGAAATCTTTCAGGTCCTCAGCCTGCTGCAGATACCATTTGAACTTTTCAAAGTCTTCATCTGCCAAATCTTCCAGTATTTCCAACAGATCAGCGGGTGTTGCCATGGTTTCTTCTTGATGAAAGCTTGTTCAGAGTTTAGCAAAAGGTTTTTTAGAAACTGATACACAGAATTACCGGCCACAACATATTTGTGCAAGGACAGATGTTTGGTTCTTCAGGCTCTGGTCCTCAGCACATTCAAATTCAAATGGATGTTTGGAAGTCTCTTTGCATCAGCACTGTGGTAGACTGGAGTACTGTTCAGGGTCTAATGTCAGCTAGCTTCAGCCCCCGCAACCCTTTACAGGATAAAGCTGATGGAGATAATGGATATTACACTGAAGGACCAATTCTCAGCTTTAGCTCAAGTACAATATCAGCATAAAAAGAACTGTGCAGTGGTGGAAGAAGAATTCAGATTCTTTACTTCAGTAAAAGCACCAATAAAGCAACATTTAAAAAAAAAAATCTACTTATAAGTAAAAGTTCTGCATGAGAAATTCAACTTCTTATGTAAAAGTACATAAATATTAGTAGCAAAATCTGTTAAAGTATGAATGTAAAGTCCTGTTTTTTTGGTCCTTGTGACTGATGTATTATATATTACATGATGTTATTAATAGTGAAGCATCAGTAGCATGTTGCTGCTGCAAGTGAAGCTAGTTTAGCTGCTTTACATGCGCTTGTGGGGGCAGATCTAGAGAAGTATTAATGGGGTGGCATATAGATTTTTAGGGGGTGGCATATGTGTGTGTGTGTGTGTGTGTGTGTGTGTGTGTGTGTGTGTGTGTGTGTGTGTGTGTATATGTCACAGTCCAAATTAAAATCCAGGCAGATCTTAAATCTGTCTGGACCAAATCAACATTTTAATCTCACCTAGGGAGATTTATAAATTTTAATTTGGACTGTGACATATGTATTTAACTTCATCCTCATTAGGGTCGCGGTGCAGGGGTGGGCGAAGGCACCCTGGACAGGTAGCCGTCTATCACAGGACTACACTTAGAGACAAACAAGCACTCGCACATTCACATCTATGGACAATTTAGAATCACCAATTAACTTCATTAAATTAAAAAAATCTTTTTCTTGTTTCAAACCAAATCTTCAGACACTCTTGCGTGTTCCCAACCAGCAGGAGTCATCAAACTGACACAAACACTGCTGAGATAAATGTTACATAAGTTAATATCATTTTTATTTGTTGGCAATTCTAAACATGAGTTGTTTATGAGCTGTTAATCACAAGCCAGACTGCAGTGCAACAGTTGTAGGATGGATTTGACAAACTCTCCGTTCTTTGATTTTGACATTTGATTTTTCAACTACACAACAATAACATAGTGTGGACCATATTTTTGTGACAAAATAGAAATGGAACAAGGATATACATTACATACTCATGATTTACATAAGTGAGCAAATTCGGTGCAGCATAAAGACGACATGGATCTATGAGAACTGAATATACAGCAAATTTCCATCCATCCATGATCTATAGTATACCCCTCAGGTGTGGCTTTCTTTCCCTTTTTATCTATGCCACTCCTCAAAACAGTTTCAGTCCAGAATGAGGCGGACAGCCACATTACAGGACCTGAACCTCCAGGGATTTTCTTTCACTTTCGTTTTGAAAGAATGTTGAAAGAAACGCGACGCGTGCAGCCCGTATTTCATATATTTTACACACGTTGTTTGTCACGTATGTTCATAACATCAAATCTCCGGTTTTATGTGCTCTACTGACGTGAAACAAAAACTGGGAGAGAGTTTAACGTCTTTACCTTTAAGTGAAGTTGACGGCGTCGTCATATTATTATAGCACGGCTCGTATCTGTCTGTAGTAGAACCGGTTTGTCTTCATGGTGCATTCGCAAGCACTCGGACATCAGAGTTTCGCTCGTTATTCGTCGAATCCGGACTTCCGCTCTTTCAGGTGTTGCCGTGAAAAGCGCCCCCTCTCAAGGAGTGCAGTGAAAGCTATTCGTCTGTAGATGAAAATAATAAAAAAGTCCAACAGTAATGTTTAACTGTCTGTACATGGTCTCGTGGAAACAATGAGAACAACAGGGACAGATTTACTGAGGGGTGTAACTCTGTCCCTGTTGGTCCCAGCATTTTTAACTTCTCACAGTATGCTCAGACCAAATCTGTCTCTGTTGCTGACCATGTACAGACCTTTAAATATTACTGTTAGACTTTTTTTTTAATTTTCATTTTCTTTATCAACAGGCTGGTGCAGACTATTGGTAAGTTCTTAAGGGCAGTAGACATGGATACACGCCATCTACAGGCGACTGGCTGTCACTGGGGGTGCTTTTGTCGGCACAACACCGGCTGTTGCTGCTCACTCCCAGGCTCGGAGTTGTCCGTTGCCCTCCTCGTTGCCGCGACGTCCACTTGTTGGAACTTCGATGGTCCGGCATGCAAGAGTACGCAACGGCCGGACTTTCTGCTATCCCGGTGCTGACGTAAAAGACATCACACCCACCGCCATACAGTTGGTCCAAACACACAGCTCGGCCTCCGCAGTTGTTGTGCATGCTGGCATCAACGACTTGAAAATCCAAGAATCTGAGACACTCAAAAAGGAGTTTGTGTGCCTTATTGACAGCTGCTGGACACAGGTAAGCAGTGTGTCATATCTGGTCCTCCACGTTTTGGCGACGTGAAGTTCAGCCATCTGCCTCCAACTCCATATCTGGTTAAAAGGCTACTATAGGAGCAGAGACATCCCCTTTGTGGACAATTTCACCACCTTTCTTTATCGTCCAGAACTTTTTAAATAGGACCGCCTTCACCCAAATCTATCAGCCTCACTTGTTCTGTCCATAAACTCACTCTGCGCTCCTGCGAAGACTTCTCTGCAGGACACTCAGTGTTAATTACAAACTGCCTCTCACCTGCCACTACTAGCAGTCATTGTCACAATCAGCTCAATCCCTGTGATTATTAGAGACAGACCCAGGAAAAGTTTTACTTACCGTCATGGGTCTGACATCAATAATCTGATTACGGTTCCCTGTGAGCCCTCCTGTCCTAAAATAGTTTCTCCAGTAGTTTTTGCCCTCTTTACCACACGTTCACTGGCCAACAAAACCTTTATCTTGAATGATTTTGTTACTTCACAGAACTTGGATATTCTGTGTATCACTGAGACCTGGCTTAAACCCAATGATTGCTGCCTCCTTGTGGAGCTTTGCCCACCTGGATATTTATACCTTAACACCCCAAGGTCCATAGGTTGGGGTGGGGGAATTGCAGTGGCTTATAGAAACCAACTTAAATGCGTTCCATTTAACGCTGGATCGCTTTGAGTTACTCACTTTTAAAATTGAATGTGATGTTCCGGTGTGCTGTCTTGTTGTCTACTGCCCCCCGAAACACTGCACAAAGTACGTGACTGAATTTTCTAACTTGCTTTCCTCAGTTCTTCTTACATTTAACAAGATTATTATTGTTGGGGATTTTAACTTTTACACTGATGACCCTTCGAACTCTCTTGCTGCTGATTTTCTTGTCACTGCAAACTCCTTTAATCTTATTCAGCATGTTGTTGGCCCCACTCATAACCCCGAACACACCCGTGATCTTGTCTTCACACTTGGCCTGTCTCCAAACTCGTTGCATGTGGCTGACTTAGTATCTGATCACAAATGTCGATATCGGCTCCCCTGAAACGAAACATTCAGTCACGCATCTTTGATAAGCACGCGATAACGAGGTTCTCTGAGATCTTGTTCGACACACTCAAGACAACCCCTAAATATTCCAACATAAACAAATCTGTTAATTGTTTTAACAAGGCATGCGGCTCTGCCCTCGACACTGTGGCTCCGATTAGGACCCGCCCGGCCCGTGTTGTTACTCAGTCTCCTTGGATTGACGACTCAATCTATCAACACAGATGTAACTTAGAAAAGCTGAACGAAGATGGAAACACCCTGGACAGGCAACCAGTCTATCACAGAGCTACACAGCCAAACACACTCACATTCACACCTACGGACAATTTAGAATCACCAATTAACCTCAACATGTTTTTGGACTGTGTGGAGAGAACCCACACTGCACAGGGAGAACATGCAAACTCCACACAGACAGATCCCGGGTGTCCTCACCGGGACGCGAACCAGCGACCTTATAACTGTGAGGCGACGGTGCTTATCACCGAGTCACCTTGCAGCCCTATATGCAGATTGCCATTATGAAAACTGTGAAACTGAATATTTATGTCATTATCAAAACTTTTGGTCACGGCTGTAGTGTTAAATGAAAACACGTTTGTTGCTGGCATATCAGTGAATGTGTAGCAACAGTCGCATGGAAGAGATTAATGATCAATCTTTATGTTCTGGGTTTGTTTGTACATTTGTGGCCATCATGTTTCATCTTTTTTAAGGTTTTGTCTCATTCATGTTGTCTTTTGATTTCTTAATTCAGTTACATGCAACAGACGAGTTTACACCATTACCTACTTCCTCTCAGTTTTTGCAGCACAAACCAACCAAAGATAACAATTTCTTCATGAGCAGCATCACGTTTCTGGGCTCCTGCTCTGATATCTTTCACCATTATCCACCAGTGCAATCATAAAATGTTCTCAGAGACACTTTGACAGAGGAAGGAAGATGAGATAACTGAGCTGCATGTGGTTTGTCCACCGTCCTCCCACTAATCAACAGTCCAGTCTGTCAAAAGACAAGCCGCCCTGCTCGCAGACTGCTGTCAGTATTTGACTGGTGAGTTACAGTTCACTTTCTTTTATATGATTTTAATATAACTGTTCTTTAAAACTTATTTTATCTGTTTTCTTATTAGAAACCAAAGGACTGCTGCAGCCATGCTGGTATCAGAAGCTGAATGGGTGTTTATGGGTTTCATCCTGCACATCTCAGGTATTAGTTACTGTTTACTACAATCTGTAATCTTAAAAAACAAACATTGAAATGAAACAAATGAACAATATTTTACATACATGTAAGAGCAAATTGAGTAATAATGTTGATTAAAATTCAAAAGAACTGAACACGTATTTTTTTAATGGCATAAAATAGTAACAAAGATTAAAAAAACGCTACATGTCTGCTCTAAATGTTTTTATATTTTCTGCATGCTGCACTGTTATGATTAGTTAACATCCAGTGTTCAAAAGAAACAACTCTGCTTCTTTTATAGGCATTCAGGGACAAGCAAACAGCATCTGTGTCTTGAAAGGTTCTGAAGTGAATCTGACCTGCCCCTTGAAGCATCCAACTTCAAGCATGAAATGGTTCACAGTAAAGGAAACTGACTCGGGTTTTCTTCCCACTGCCGATGAAAAACATATAACGCACACAGCGGCTGAAGAGAGCAACTTGACTCTAACGATCAACGATGCAAGAGAGAGCGATGAAAATACTTACTGCTGCACCGAAACTACTTTCAACCTACAAAACTGTTTGCGCCACAAAACTACGCTCCGTGTTGCAGGTACAGCAGCTGCCAGTTGTTTTTTATTTTAACATCAGTTGAGAGTTTCCTAATTTTATTCACCATCATCTCAGATCTGCAGGTGAAGGTGATTCCCTCCACAGAGGGACAGACGGTAACTCTGATGTGCAGCACCAGCTGTCCTCTGACTGAAAACCCTGCAGCCTACATCTGGTACAAGAACGGAGAGTTTGTCTATGAGGACTGGTCTCCCTGGTACCAAGAGCTGGTCAGCAGCGAGGAAGCCGTCAGATACTCCTGTGCTGTCAAAGGCTACGAGGACCTCAGAGCTCCTGAAGTCTCAGTGGGTGAGTGACGTTAAAAAAAAAAAAAACCTGAGATAAAACTCAGCTGAAACTGGACCGATGATTGTGTAAACCATCCTTAAGCTCAATAATCGAGTCTCGTTTGTTTTTGAGCAGATTCTGTCTCGCCAGTCTGCTTCAGTGTGACCTATGCTAAAGGGAAAATGTGTTCTTATAAGGCTAAATCTATGGATGAGCCCTGCACCATTACGTATCCAACAGGTGATGTTTCCACAAACATGTAAACACACCATTCACCATGAAATGTACTACTGGGCGAGATTAAACGTGTGTTCCTAATCTCCCAACAGATGTAAGAGTTCAAATGACTTCTTTGAGGGATTCTGTTAAACTGAGGTGCATCTCCAGCTGTTCTGAGATTGAGCCTCGAACTGCCTATCGGTGGTACTGGAACAGAGAGCTATACAGTGACTGTGAGACTTCAGAACTTGCCGTTTTTGGCTCCCATGGAGAAAGCATCTCCTGTGCGATAAAAGGCAATGAAGATGTGCACTCTCGTGAACACTGTGAGTATGAATAGGGCATCTGTATAAATTATTTACATGCCCACATGGCAATAAGGAACATAATAAACTGATTCATTAATTGACAAATTCAAAATATTGCATGGTAGAGCAGCGATTAACACAGACGCTTGACATATAGAAGCTCTTGGGTTTAAGCCTGTCAGCCAATAGCGGTCGATCTGTGTGGACAGATAGCTGCAGACTGATGACAGAAACAAGTTCCTGCCTGGTGCAAAATATGAGACGGTGCAAATAATGACTGGATGGAAATCAGTTAATGTTAAGATATGGGGCTGACCTTTTTGAAAGTTCAAATTAAAAGGGTTGGCTGCAACAAACATCTCCAGGACAAACTTGCACTGTGAATATCACAACCAAATGAAAATTCTGTAAAACTGCAGCGTTGTTTTTTTTTGGTTTTGTTTTTATCCAGGGTTGAATTTAGCTGTTACTAAAAGTTTTTAATTTATATTTCAGGTGTTGGTAGTACAATGTGCAACACAATGAGGTATGTAAGTGAGAGAATCTGTGCCCTGGAAGGTGATTCAGTCAACATTTCAAGTGAATACTCAGATCCCATCTACAGCGGGAAAGTTTGTAAAGCATGGTATAAAATAAAGCAACTGGGTGAAGAAAAGAAGCTTGTTGTGGCTGCAGACCGCGTGGAGCATCATGAACACATGGAAAACCAGCACTTTCTGAGTATCAGTGACCTGCAGAAGAATGACTCGGCAGAATACACCTTCGAGTTCGGCATCTATGAAGAATGTGAAGGATCTGATTTACCTGGAGTGCTGTTAGTTGTTACAGGTACTACAGTTGTCTTTCACTAGAGAATCTGTTGCTCCTTCATGCGAGCAGCAGTCAGCAGCTTGTGCTCAACATCTGTACAAAAGTCTGGTTCGTGTTTCACAAAATGATTTGGTGTCCACTCTATCTGTCCTCCAGGCCTGACGGTGACCATGACTCCTTCTGCAGAGGTGACAGAAGGTCAGAGAGTCACGCTGACCTGCAGCACCAGCTGTCCTCTGACTGGCAACACAAACTACATCTGGTACTTTAACGGTCGACCTCTGGGCCAAAACAAACACCTGCTTCTGGACCCAGTCAGCGTTCAGCATGCAGGAAACTACTCTTGTGCTGTGAACACCCACGAAAACATGACATCAGCCGAAGAGGCTCTCACTGTTCGAGGTGAGCGCGGCTTTAAAGTTTATCCACAACTGATTTTGAAGCACTAAACTGAAGCAAATGCCTCTGTTTTTAATTAGTGCTCTGTTAAAATCAATTGTAACGTTCACCTGCTCTTAATTTGACTTTGGTGAAATATATATCATCGTGTTTCAACTGTGTTCCTGTAAAAAAGTTACTCCGCATAGATTTGGTAAAAGAAAAACGTAAACTTCCATCCTGCTCATTATGAAGACTGTGATCTAAGGGACAAATCTGTTGCCTGTGGTTTTGTTGTGCCCTTAACTTACATCTCACATCAATCTCTCCAGCTCGAAAGACAGCAGTGGCAATATTGAATGCAGTAAAAATTGCTGCTTTATCACTGATCCTGCTTGCTGTAATTCTCCTCTACCTGATGAAGAGGTAAAAGACTTGTGTGCTTCCACTTCCTGTATTCAGTGTCCTTTTGTTGACTAAAAATGTATGTTTGTTTTTTTTTAACACAAATCATTTCCCTAATTTGTACAATGAAAAAACAGAAAGAAGAAAATTGTGACAACTAAGCCAAGAACAGACCAGGTGAGTGGAAAACCTTAAACCATGACATTCTGTCAGAGTGGCCGAGCATAGACTGAGATCATTACTCACACTGGTGGGGGCACAAAGTCGTAGAATTTTTTTTCAGTAAATCACTGTAGGGGGCTGCAAGGTGGATCGGTGGTTCACACCATCGCCTTGCAGCTAGAAGATCCCTGGTTTGTGTCCCAGTTAGGACGCCTGGGATCTTTCTGCGTGGAATTTGCATGTTCTCCTCGTGCAGTGTGAGTTCTCTCCTGGTTCTCCAGCTTCCTCCCTCACAGTCCAAAAACATGTTGAGGTTAATTGGTGATTCTAAATTGTCCGTAGGTGTGAATGTGAGTGTGCTTGGTTGTCTGTCTCTAAGTGTAGCCCTGTGATAGACTGGTGACCTGTCCAGGGTGTCTCTTGCCTTCACCCTGAGTCAGCTGGGATAGACTCCAGCCCCCCATGACCCTAGTGAGGATTAAGTGGTGTATTGATAATGGATGGATGGATGGTTGTAGAAATACACAAAAAGCCATATACATTAAAATAAGCTTTTTTATGTAACCCTCAACTGATTGAACATCTGGAGCTTTTGCTGAAGTTAAGCTTTTTTTAATTGTTGATACCACAATTTGCATTACACACTGTAGGTGCGCATACACAACACGCTTATGGCTCAGGACAGCCACCTAGATGAGACGTCACACAGCATCCATCGAGCCTTTTGTTTGGCATGTTTTTGTCTTTTGGCTGCAGTCAGCAGTTTGTACCATTTGTTCCCAAAGCTCTTCAATGTAGGTTTCAGAAGAGTCCGTACAAGAGCCTCTACTAAGTTCACAACTGAACAATAATCACGCACACTTTCACTAATAGACATGCACAAACCTATTATTTATCTACAAAATCAGTGTAAACTGCTTGGTTGTACGTGGCTGTACTGTCAAAAAGTTTAAGTGGAGAAATGGTTCTGCAAAAATGTTTGCAGCGTCTAACAGGCTTCACTCTTGGTTTCATGAGTTGGCCAGCCTTTAGTCTGCGGTCACCGTGGCCACCCCTCAGCTCGGCTCCTGTACTCTTCCTCAGTTGTCTGTATTCTCTTTCCCTCAGCGGGGGCAGCCATACGAGAACATCGCACTCATGGACGTGAAACCAGCAGCACGGAAAAAAACAGCAAAGCAGCAGGAAGACACTGTGTAGTATGGGGTGATATGCAGAGTGCAGATGAGACAGCTGCCTTGTTCTTATAGATTCAAGTTAAAAAGTCACGATTTGAATCTGTGTAAATACGCCTTTAAGTTCGTGTGTGTGGACTCAAGTGGAGATCACAAAAAGATGCAAACGTTATTTCTTCCGCCTGCCTTAGCAGCCACTGAGTGATGGATGTGGTGAGGCTATCTGTGGCTGATGGACACATATGTTTTTTAAATATTATCGCAACTTTTGAATGTTGATGGTGGTTTAAGTTGGTCAGAGGTTTTTGTTAACTTCCCGTGGGGGAAAAAAAGCACATTGCTACATCTTACTGCCACTGACAGAAAACGAATACACTCAGTTTTGCAGTTTAACAGTTTCCTCATTATGATTGAATCTTTTTCTTGTTGTAATCTGCATGTTGTAATGACTGTGTTTTATTTCTGCTGATTCCATATAATAATGTCTACTTTAATCACGGTTGATCATTTTTATAAAAACTATTTTAACATAACTATGCATCAGACTCTGTACTGTATTCCTCCTATGCACATATCCATCTGCTGTTATTAGATAATGTCATTTTAGCCTGATTTTTATTGTGTAAATGCATTAAAACTAAATTACAAGAGACTGATATCTTTTTCTTTAAACATTTCCAGTGAAGCAGCAGCTGTAAACTGTCCCGCGTTCTATTTGAGGGTTAATTTCTGCTGCTGAACTCAACCTACTATCGGTTGTGACATCTATAAAGCTAAACCACAGACTATATATATAACCTAAGCTGCAACAGAATACACGAGATGTGAACTCGTAAAAAATGCAGTTTGTAGCTTTAATCTTAAGTGTAACGTATAAATAAAGGCCTAAATATTGGGTTATGTTTTACAGCGTTAGTCATTTACATTAGATTTCTTCATGATAACTGAAAGAACATGTTAAAGACCAACTATTTGAACTATTATGCAGCCAGCTCACTATAAACTGGCTGTTTTTTTTCTTCCTATACGTCACAGGCAAAAGGGCCTCAAGCCAACTGAACATGACCAAGAAATTGTCAGAAATAAAACAAGTAAAATACAAGTTATGCACAAAAGAAATGCTGTGATACGAAATATCAAGAAGGACCCATCTTGAATGTTATAACCAACATTTTTCAGGTGTGTTAAGCAGCTATGTTTGGGAGCAGCAGGGGGAACATTTTCCTCTGAATAGAATGGAAGCTGCACAGAGCACAGGCAACATCTAAAGACAAATGAATCACTTTCAGTAAATGGTTAAAGTCGCTGCCCACAGATATGTTACATGTTACTGTTCAGGATGGGGGGGGAAGGGCACCGTGGGAAACTACATGTGCATCGACTCTTTTGTGGCGCATTCAACTTTACCGCCGTTCTGCTTCTGCTTCTGCTCTGTTTACCAGAGAGGTTTCATCAGTCTCGTCAATCAAGAGTCACACATACTGTGTTATTCAAGCCCCGCTTTTGTTGTGAATAAGTATTTTCTTTATAGTTTATTGATTCAAAACAATTCTCATGTGCTGCCAAATTTAGGGCTGATGAGGAAAATTTTGAAACAATTTTAGAGTTACTGTCGAAACAAATAATAAGGTGACATTAAATATAAGAACATGGAAATTGTAATTGGGAACTGTGCATTTATACTCATATATACATTAACTGTATGTTATCACCTGCATATATACTACTTTGCTTGTACTGTATGTTTATATGTCCATATGCAAACATGCACAGTATTTAGATATTAAAATAAACATCTCAACTGACCAATTTAATATGATTATCTGTGTGTGTAATTGAATGGAAAGGTAGAGCTGGTAGAAAACACTTCCCTGTCACTGTAAAGTCATTTTTTTTCTAAAACACATCTTCTATATTCCATATTTTCTGATTCAGGTTTTCCTTCATTATGCTTATTGAATTTCTGCTTTTGAAAAATTGTTGTGTTTTTTCCCCCACTATGTCCTCTGAAATACATTTTTGTTGACAAAGACTATTTTATAAACTGACACACTTTCAACCAGAGTGCATTTAATCCTGTTATATATTTAGAAGTACTGTCTACATCGTCTTCTACAACGTGCATACATTGACACTAAGCTAAAGTTATCTGTATGTTTCAATATTCATTTCTACATTTGGGGGCATGTATCGACACACACCATAAAACTGCAGAATAGATGCTCTACAACAATTTATTACTTTTATCTTGTATAAAAGTCATGCTATTTTTTCCCATAAAAAACCCATATGTACCTTTCTGTATTGCATAGACTAGATGACTGCTTTGTATACATGCGAACTGTGTTCATCTATGCACATCAGATAGTTGGTGCCTTTAAGAAACCAACGTATCTGATTTTCTAACTCTCATATTGATATAGTTTGCATCAACCCTCTGTGCTACAACAGCAAAACAGATTTCCTAAATTTCACCTACAGATTTTTGGTCTTGGTGTACCACGCCAAGAGTTTTAGTGGACCATGGAGCCCCCTATTAAAGGCCCCAACCAGCATGTGGCCTCCTAATCTCATGGTGAGCAGCAGATGTCACCATGTGATTGTGTTTGATGTCTTACCTCTGATCTGAACTGCACGGAACCCGAGTGGCCATTAAGAAAAAAAAAA